GGTGATAAACAAGGTGACATCGAAAGACAAGACCTTGTGCAAGATCGAAGAGGCCAGGATTGGCCTTCTCGTTGCGCGTGATGCTGTCGAGTTGTTCGTTTGTTTCATAAGTACTTTCGACAAAAGAGTACAGTTGATTGATGTTCACAGCATCAGAAGTGTCGGGGTGATTGACCTTTTGCATGAGTATCTTGGCGTCTTGCGAGAAAAAGAGTGAAGTTCGAAGTGATTCATGTTTAATGACCAGTACGTCTAATGCTTGTTTAAGTCGTGTGACAGATAAAAAATGGTGTGGTAATAGTTGATAAAGGAAAGGCATGTTGTACGTTATTGTCGATGGCTTATCCGATTGAGAAAAGGCTTGTCCAGCCTGCCAAAGTTGACTTTGTGCGTAAGAGGCGGGTGCTATACAAAAGTATCAGAATATTATACAAGAAGAAGTGTAGATATGTCAAGAAAAACTATGAAAAATTGAGCAACTCTATAGAACGAACATGATCGCTCAAGTTACAGATTATATTCGGGCGTCCTTTGACACGGATCTTTGTCCTTTCATAGTGAGCTACTTAGGACGTTTCTCTCTACTATACCATCCTGAGAGCACTTTTCAAAAATTTTCAAATATAATTTATGTCACTTGAATAGAGTTTATTCACTTAAAATTCTCCTCATCATGCTCAAAAATCGTGTCGGATTGAAAAATATCCAGGGATTAGTACTTATGAGTTGCATCAGAGAGTGAAACGATATTAGATTATGTCAATGAGTAGCGTCGATCTGAATAGCTGCTCTAAACGAGCAGTACTAAGTTTTTGCTTTCAGAAACTGTTTGCAGTAAGAAAAAATAATGATGTAAATTCTGCATAGTTAAATATAATGTAAGGTACAGAGTGTTGGCACTCAATTTACAGTCTTCGGAAAACTTTCGAAAATTTCCATTAAGTGTAGAACAAAATGAGTTATGATTCTCAAACATTAGAAAGAAGACGACATATCGATGGAATTTCATTTGAAGATATATTCACAAAATTGACAAAACATACCTTCGTTAATAATGGTTGATTGTCGGCAGAATATTTCATTTTGAATTTCCATGAGTTCTTCCGGTAAGAGAAGGTTAAATTTGCTGAAGGATTGCAGAGAACAATTTGACTGGTTTTCTTTTGAGTTCGGCCGAAGAATCTGTTGAAGAAGATGATTAAATCTTTGAGCCAGTCCAATAACTGTTTCCGCATCGAATAGATCACGTGAGCAAGCTATACTCAGGGATAAGTTATTGCCGCTTATTGACGAATGATGAGAGAACCATAGCATAAAATCGAATTTGGCGACATAAAATGATTCTTCTACTGGAAGGTATTCGAAAGATGCATCATTTAAAGATGCTCGATTTTCACCAGCCACAGTGGTGCCAAATTCAAACATTATTTCAAGAAATGTAGCACTCGATTGTCTCATCTGAAGATCAGCAAGGATTTGTTGCAGAGGATAGTGAGAGTGTTCAAAAATAGACACACATGTATCTCGCATAACTTCAACAAGTTCATCAAATGACCAGTCTGCATTCAGTTGGATACGATACGGTAGCGTGGAAACAAACATCCCAATTAAATTCCGCAACTCTGTTCTATAACGATTAGCATTGAGAGCGGACAGACAAAGATCAGTTTGGCCATGTGTTAGTTTAAATAGGAAAGTATAAAACACAGCTAGACCCAACTGAAACGGTGTTACACGATGTGAAGTACTATAGTCGAAGAACAAAGCGGACAAATCATCTTCAAAAGAGATTTGAGCAAGGGAACTAGCACTTGAACGCTGCTCGCTGGCCAAACGATGTCGATCCACAGGCAGCAACAGCTGACGCTCTAACTTACATCCATCTAGTTGAGCTCGCCAGAAGTTCCGTGATGGCGTCATATCTATTACGCGCTCATGCACACTATAATCAATATACTGCAATATATCTTCATTTTCTGGCCATATCAAGTCACTGTTATAAGCATTGTAGAAGTCTTTGAAAAACGTTGGACGTGATGATCGATCAGTTGCTGCATGATGGAATCCGATAACAAGAATATCTTTATCTCCGACGATTTGATTGTCTTCCCTTCCGGTAGGAGATTTCTTCGGTCGCAGTATCTCACAATAGAAAACACGACCATTTGATAGGTCGAATAGATTCGGATTGATGGTCAGTTGATGAACGATACTCTGAAGTTCGTCTTCGTTTTTATATGTTCGATCAGCAATAATCTCAAATGTCTCATGTTTGTTAGTAATACTTTGAGTTAGAGTTCCGTCAATAGTGTTGAAGAGGAGAGAAGTACGTAAGATTTTATGTTTAGCCAGTACATATCGCAGAGCTCGCGTCAAACGATCAGTTGATAGTGAACCATGAACAACTTTCAGAGGCGTCAGCTCATTATAAAAGGCAGTGTCTCGCGATAAGCGAATCAGCTCATCAAGAAAAATACGCTCTTGTGCATAAGAAGTAATACCTATATATTTAAGGAGATACATTCAACGATTACACTTACAAAATTCGCATTGAACTCATTACCTTTCTCAATATGTAATGTATGCCATTTAGTCAACTCTGACTTCCCTATTTCAATTGAACCAAGTAAGTGCGAATGCTGGACTATAGTCGGTTGTTGAAGAAATGCAGCTATAGAAAGTGTCTGGCTATCAAAGCCAAACACATTTTGATAACGATGATACAGATCAATAAACAACAACGAATGACCACCAATACTAAAAAAGTTTCCACTCGTTGGTAGTTGACTACCAACACATCTCAGAACTTGAACCCATATATCGTGTACGTTTTGTTCAACTTCATTCTTTGGCACATCAGAGATGCTCGGTAACAATGAAGTCAACGACGATACATCTGGTAATGGCAACTGTTTTCGATCTACTTTTCCATTCGCGTTCAGCGGCAGCTTGTCAAGTATGATGAACATGGATGGAACCATGTGTGGTGGGAGATGTAACTGACAGTGATCGCGAAGTTGATCTTCAGTGATGTCAGAGCCTTGAACATATGCAACGAGGTGATTCTCTCCCCATTGAATCACAATACACACTGATATGGACGTCTGTAATAAGCATTGTTCTATCTCCTTCAGTTCGATACGCTGACCTCGCAACTTCACTTGATGATCTCTACGACTTCCATAATGAATCAGACCACCAGCATCCATTCGAACAAGGTCGCCTGTTCTNTCGCGAAGTTGATCTTCAGTGATGTCAGAGCCTTGAACATATGCAACGAGGTGATTCTCTCCCCATTGAATCACAATACACACTGATATGGACGTCTGTAATAAGCATTGTTCTATCTCCTTCAGTTCGATACGCTGACCTCGCAACTTCACTTGATGATCTCTACGACTTCCATAATGAATCAGACCACCAGCATCCATTCGAACAAGGTCGCCTGTTCTATAGAACAACTCTCCATCGATGCTGATCAAAACGTCTCCTGTCAAACCATCACGATGAAGATATCCAGCAAAGACGCCAACGCCTCCAACGACTAGTTCTCCTTCTAGTCCAACATGAACATTCTGTAAAAACTCGTCCAAAACCAGACATTGATAATTAGGAAGAGCACAACCCAAAGGAACGCTCTCATGATCTTTACTCAGATCAATCAAATGACAAGCACAATTAACCGTAATTTCAGCTGGACCATAGTGATTTCGAATTTGACATGCATTGCTCACCACGCTTCGTAGCAGATTAGCAGTCTTGACGTTGAGAGCTTCACCTGTAATGAAATAGCATCATGCGATCACTAAGACTTCGGCTACTACACAGAAACTACGCACCTCCACTACATAACGATCTCAACCATTTTACGGCTGCTGTCCGTTTGTTCTCTCTGAGAAAATCAAAAAGAGTACTCAGCAGAGATGGAACAGCATGCATGACTGTGATCTGTTTGTGATCGAGTACTTCACTCAGATATTCCATGTCCATATTACCATCTGGCCGAAGCATGACTAGCGTGGCTCCAATCAGTAATGTACCAGCTAGACTAAGAAGGTGATTATCGAACGAGCAACGTGCCATTTGAATGATTACATCGTTCGGCCCTAGCACACCAACACAAGGGAATGAGCGCATGAAGTCACTAAAGTTTCGATGACGCACTTGAACCTATTTTGACAAATATACTTCAACAATTCAACATGCAATGAAACACTCAACTCACCGCTTTCGGAATGCCAGTCGAACCACTGGTGAAAATAGTAAAGACAATATGTTCTATGGTGATGAGTAGATTGGACAATTGTTGCACATCAACTTTGACACACCAATCATTGAAGTTGTTAATTGTTTCAATATCTACCGTTGCAGTGTCGGTGTCAAACATAGGTTTTGTGGTGGAATGAATGAGAGTTAGACGACTATGTGTTTGATGAACAAGAGCTTTCAAGCGATGTGGAGGATCTTTTGGTGACAAAGGACAATATGCACCGCCTGCCATGAGGATTGACACAATACCGATGACCTAAATGAAATAGCTCATTTATGACATGACCATTGTCAGCATGCTGGGCATTTAAGTATATATTTACCATTGCTAAACTGCGTTCCACACACTGGCAGATGACATCTCCAGGACTGATATGATGGCGTAGCAGCAGCTGCGAAGCCAGTACTTGAGTGTTATGCAGAAGTTCAGAGGATGTAAGAGATTGTTGATCAAGTTCAACAGCCACCTTCTGTGGATGTTCCATTACTCGATAAATAAACTCCTGATGAACAAGATTAGCAGGAGCAAATGTCTTTTGTGTATTAGTCGTGGAGTACACAATCATTCTCTCATGTGGCAACGTGATCGTTTGTTCGTAGATCGGCCTCAGCATTTCATCAGCACTGAATGCAAGACATTGCCTTGACATTGAATGAAATCTTTGTGCAATCACATCGATTGTTCTTGCATTGAATAAGTCTAGTGATCCATTGATTGTGCATGATAGCCGATTCGTGGTTGTATTGTATTGAACAACAAAAAAGAAGTCGTATTTGCTCTTTATCTCCTCGTCGCTGATCGTGATCGACGAACGTACGGCATGAAGACAGGTCTCGCCAATGGTAATCTCATCTTTCTTCTTGCCGCTGTCATAGGCAGCATACCCAAAAGAAACGTCGAGAAAAGCAGGTTTGGCAATGTTTGGATGCTGAGCAAGAATGCGTTGCAGAGGGAAGTATGAGTGTTTCAAAGAATTGGTCATCATGTTGGAAACACTCTCAATTAACCGATGAAGCGACCAATGAGGATTGAGCTGGCACCGTAGTGGAATTGCATTCACAAACATTCCGATCACTGACTTGAGTTCATCTCTATATCGGCCATCTGTGTTCATTCCAATACAGAGGTCGTTTTCTCCATTCGTCATTTTAAACAAGAATAAATAATAGACAGCGAGTGAAACATGTTCCAGACTGACGCTGTTTGACAATCCGTAAGTTAGTAAACTATGCGATAGATCATGGTCTATATCGAATGATACAAATGCTGCTCGTCCAGTTCGATGTTCATTCGTCAGCCGATGTCGATCATATGGTAGTGGTAGGAGTCGATCGAGTTGACAACCGTGCAACACATCACGCCAGAACATACTTGCACCACTCATCGCCATCTCATGTTCGATCATGGCATCTATAATGACAAAGGACTTCATAACAGAAGGTGGCGAAGGACGAACGAATACTCACAGTCAATGTACCGAAGAGTGGCATCGTCGTTGTCAGATGGGAGTTGACCAGTTGTGTATGCTTGATTGAGATCATGGAGGAAGATGTGCATGGATGGGAAATCGAAGAGAGCATGGTGGAAGTTGAAAATGATGACGTCGTTGTGAGAAAGAGCACCGTCGGTTGAGATCTGTTGGTGATAAACAAGGTGACATCGAAAGACAAGACCTTGTGCAAGATCGAAGAGGCCAGGATTGGCCTTCTCGTTGCGCGTGATGCTGTCGAGTTGTTCGTTTGTTTCATAAGTACTTTCGATGAATGTATACAATTTGTCGTCCGTACTTTCACTCAAATCCATAACTATTTGAGTGAGAGAATTGATTTCTGCATCGAGACGGAGTGCTGTGCGTAGTGATAGATGTTTGAATATGATGAGTTGGAGAGCATGTTGAAGTTGCTGAACGGAGAGAGAAGGGCCTGTTGCGAGGCGATACACAAAAGGCATGTTGTAGATGGCAAGCTGTGGTTTTTCTGGATCGAAACGTATACGCTCGTCAAGCCAAATTCGTGCTTGTGCATAAGAAGCTGGTGCTATGATTAGATAATGTCTGTTAATGTTATTTCTTTAAATGCTTCTCAAATATGCTCGTGCACTTCTTCCGCCAATCTATAATTGATCTATATGCATACAACGAATGATACAGAAACAAAATTGACTTCAGTGGCGAACTATTCATTCCGAGTACAGTTATGACGTCTGTGAATTGAGAATCAGCAAAGCTAAAATGTTTTCGGACTGAGTTAGCATCTAGCATGTGAATAATGTAGCGCATCGCTCATGTGTTAGCGTTTGTGATGAATCACACAACGGTAGACTAGAGATTAAGATGGTCCTTCTAGTCTAACTGGATTAGGACATCTGCCCGGATAGCAGAAGGTGTGGGTTCGAGTCCCACGAAGGTCACTTTTTCTCGATTCTTCTCTCTTTCGTTCTCTTTCGCTGATGTCCCTATATTATGAGCTAACATCATGATTCGCCATTTCTGAACTACCTAACTGCTAATGTGGTTCGGTGAGATGACTTTCTACTAAAATATAGTAGACACTAGAGCGAGTACCCGCTGCAAATAAAAAATATCTGTGTCGAACATCTCACGTTTTGAAGAGCTATAACAGGTAGAAAATCAGTATAATTCAAATTTCTACGCTTCCAGTCCTTATTTTCCCGCCGTGCATCGCATAAAATGGCAGTTTCGGCTATATCTTTTTATGCAAAAGAATTGCCGAAGCTAATTTCTGCCTCAGAAATGATAAAAATTTCCTCTTTCTCTCATATTCATTTTCCACTCCAGCTATTGATTCATCGAACCCTTTCTCACTCTCACGTCATGTCATGTCATACCTTATATCCTTCGAATTCACCCACCCTTAGCATTTGTCTTAATCTTTTGAGATCCTGTAACGCTATTGGTGAATTTCGCAGATTATCTGTAGCATTCACCGAACGATCATAGGCGTAGAGAACACGTGGATTGTTGTCTTTGAGCGCTCAGACGGCCTTCGTCCGCCTTCGCTATTAATTTTCTCAATTTTGGAAATCTCGCATTCCTATTGGTCTGTCTCATATATTGCCTGCAGCAAACGGCTGGTTCCTTTGTTCTCGGGGAAAAGTAGATGTCGACCTTCCTCTGGGTCTCAGGAAGTATTGTGGAAAGTTTCACGCCGATAGCTACTGCAGGGACTGAATGCATAGCGAACAAACAAACAAACAGACAAACTTTCTTCTTTATATATATAGAAGATGGAAGAAGCAAAGACTACTATTTCACTATGATACACTCAGTTATGTTTTCATCGTTATCTGTCACATATTTATCTCATTAACGTACCTTCATTGGCTACGTCTTTTTGGCGGGAAAAGATTCCATCTCCCATTTCATTTTCCTCTGATGGTAAGATGATAGACAGTTTTTCAATCGATGCATCCAATCCACCTGTTGATGAAACACGCGGGAGTAGCCCAAAGACTTGATCAAAAAGATGCTGAAATCTTTGAGTAATTTGTGAAATTGTTGTTGCCGCGAACAAATCGCGTGAACCTTCGATTTTGCAAGTTAATCGATCAGCATCCGCCGTTAGATTGAGACAGAATGTGACCTTAAAATCAAATTTTCCCATTTGGTAGGAGTTACGCATGGAAAAGCCATGGAATTGTACACCATCTATAGAGAAACGCCGAGTCTTTTCAGCTATAGTGACGAAATCGAATATTGTCTCAAGAAATGAGGCATTGGACTGATTGAGATGGAAATCTGCAAAAATACGTTGTAGTGGGTAGTGAGAGTGCTCTAGGATTGATATGCACATCTGTCGCACATGTGTGACAAGCTGATCAAATGACCAGTCGGAGTCCATTTGAATGCGATTTGGTAATGTTGAGACAAACATCCCAATCATATTCGATATTTCACTCCGATATCTGTTTGCATTAATCGATGCAATGCATAGATCATTTTCACCATGAGTTAGTTTGAAAAGGAATACATAGAATATTGCTAAGCCAAGTTGAAAAGCTGTCAGATGATGTGAAGACGCATAATGTAGAAATGCTTCGGTAGCATCATTGCTGAAAAGAATATGGCCTACAGCTATTAAATTTGATCGCTGATTAGTTGATGAGCGTTGTTTGTCCATGGGTAGTGACAGCTGATGTTGAAAGTTGCACCCATCGAGGTGAGAATGCCAGAAATCGCGAGATGCTGACATGTCCATGACATGTTCATGAATTGAATAATCAATGTATTGTAGTGTATTTTCATGCACATGCAGCGAACCACTGTTCTCATAAGCGGACAGCAAGTCAGAAAGAAAAGTTGTAATTGACATTCCATCGAATGCCGCGTGATGCATGTGCATCGTTATTATATCACCGCTAGTTAATAGATCCTCACTAACATCTGAATGGCGAAGGATATGGCAATGAATAACACGTCCTCTCGACAAGTCGAATAGATCAGAATGGTTCAGTATTTCCTTGACGATTACATCTATATGGCGATCGTCATTATGTAGATTGAGAATTGAAAAACCGTACGGGTGTGATCTGTCAGTCGTCGACGAAATATTCGCGTCGACGGATCTTTGCACTATAGTTCCATCCGTGTGAAGATAGAGCGCAGTTCGAAGTATGCTATGTTTCATGATGACAGCATGGAGTGCTTGGTGGAGTCGTGAGACCGAAATATAAGAGTTTTCTGCAGACAAGCGGTAGAGATGTGGAATGGCATAGATATTCTTGCTTGCTGCTGATGAAAGACGGATCTGTTCGTCCAAGAAGATGCGTTGTTGTGCAAACGAGGCGATGCCTAAAAGAAAGAGAAAAGCGAGGATAATGCCTGAATCATTGCTTGGGAGTTGTCTGTTTTTACCTTGAACTGCATGTAATGGCAACCAATGATGTTCGATGTCGGCATCTGTGGTGTTAGTTGCTTGTTGAATAAGTTGTGCGTGTCCCGAGATAGTTGGATTTTGAAAGAGATCTGCAATGGAAAGTGTGTTTGGCTCTAGATTGAATTGTGTTCTATATCGATGAAAGAGTTGCATGATAAGCAACGAATGCCCGCCAATAGAAAAGAATGATGTCGATGCCTGTGGAATAGATTTAAGATGAGGAAAAATGGTTCGCCAAATAGCAAACACTTGTTGTTCCATGGCGGTCACCACTTGGTCTTCGCCAATAGGTGTTATGGAAACGGCACTGAAATCAACGGAAGGTAAAGCTTTGCGATTGATTTTTCCATTTTGATTAAGAGGCAATTTATGCAGACGAACAAAGAATGATGGTACCATGTGGAGCGGTAAGCGCGTTAGACAATGTTGTCGTAGATCATGTTCAGTTCGTTTAGTTTCGACATACGCGACTAGGTATTGATTGTTATCATATGTTAACTTGACGACCACAGACATTGTGGTGACATCCATAAGAACTGATTCAATTTCACTCAACTCAATACGTTGCCCTCGAAGCTTCACTTGGTAGTCTCGTCTACCTACGTATTCGAAAACACCACTTTTTGAATTAATACGTCCCATGTCTCCTGTTTTGTAATAAGTCTGATTATTGATTGTGCACAATACTTGCTTCATCAGATCGTCCTGGCCACGATAACCAGCGAACAACCCAACGCCTAAGTTACCAGTTAAGAAAAATAAACTGTGTTTTATAATTATCCATTTTAAAGAAAACATACCTCCAATGACAATTTCTCCAACATGTATGTCGCATATCACCGGTATAAGATAATCATCAACTAAATAAACGCTAACGCTTGCCATGGGTCGTCCAAGCGGTATGGAACCGTAAGCTAGATCTTCATCGGAAATCACATGTTCGATTGATGACTCAGAGCACTCTGTAGGACCATAATAATTGTAAAATTGGCATTTTGTGTTAAGATAAGGTTGAATATCGATAATAGTACTAGTAAAAAGAGATTCACCTAGAGTAAAAAGAAAAATAACTTTCAATTTCGAACTTGAACGTGTAAAAACAGCATTGTACCCCCTGTAGCCACACATCGTAATGTTTCTAAAGTCTTATATTGATCTGTGCTGCGTAAAAATGCTACCAAATTAATTAACTGAGAAGGTACAATGCCTATGTATGAAACTTGATAACGACAAAGCGTTCTAATAAATGATTCCATATCCAGCTGTGCGAAGGGTTTCAAAATAACAACTTGACCACCTTTCATCAAGATTCCTATACTTTCGCTGAGATGAGCGTCAAAAGTGACCGACGTGTGATGAAGACCAATATCAGTAGACTGAATTACCAGAGCTCGCATATACGTGACGAAACTACAATGCCGAAGCTGAACCTAAATGTGACAGATAAAGCAGATTATATCCTTTTTACTACTAATCTTGAAAATCGTAATCGTACTGCTTTCGGTGTTCCCGTTGAACCGCTTGTAAATATTATATAGCCAATACTTTCCGGTGATATCATGATTTTTGACAATACATGGACACTTTCATTGCTTATAAAATTCATCTCATGAATCACAGAATCAACGTTAAATAGCAGAATTCCCTCGGCGAATTTATTCTTTGTTGACCAATGAACAAGAACAAGTTGACAATTAGTTCGTCGGATAAGGACATGCAATCGATGGCTAGGATCCTGCGACGATAGTGGACAATAAGTTGCACCTGTCATCTCTATCGCTAGGATTCCAATGACCTAATGAAAACAAGTATTTCATTCGTTATATTCAACTTCTTCCAAATAGACTTACTGTGAACAGACTTCTTTCAATACACTGACAGACAATTTCTTCTGGCGAAATGTGATATGTTGAGACAAGATGTAAAGATATTAATTGAGCGTAGTATAAGAGTTCTGAATATGTCATGAATTGATCACTAAGCTCAACCGCAATTTTCTGTGGATGCTTCACTGCTTCAAACACAAACTCATGATGAATACAAGTTATCGGAGGAAAGGTGGCATTTGAGTTATTCACAGACTGCACAAGTAACTTCTCGTGGGCCAATGCAACCTGTAATTCATAAATGGGTTTTACGAATTGATCGTCAACAGCTTCGAAACACTCCCTAAGCAGGTGATGGAATCTTTGCGCGATCAAGTTCACTGTCATTAAGTCAAATATGTCAAGAGACCCACTGAACACACATCGCAAATGATTACCGACAGGATCATGCGCAATACAAACAGCAAAATCACTTTTCTCCATAATTTCTTTCTCCTTCATCTTCAGAGAAGAATTCATTCCATCTAGTGTAGCGTCTCCAATGATAGCTGTTTCCTCTTCCCTGGTACTTTCATCAACAAAAGAATCCAATAGCATATTCCAAAATGTAGGTTTCACAACACGTGGATGCTGAGCAAGAATGCGTTGCAGAGGGAAGTATGAGTGTTTCAAAGAATTGGTCATCATGTTGGAAACACTCTCAATTAACCGATGAAGCGACCAATGAGGATTGAGCTGACACCGTAACGGAATGATACTCACGAACATTCCTATTATTGATCTAAGCGTGCTTCTATATCGGTTGTCGATCGACATACCAATACACAAGTCTTTTTCACCGTTAGTGAGTTTGAACAGAAAGACGTAGTAGATGGCAAGTGACACTTGTCTTATTGACACACCATGAGATGATGCATATCTG